GTAAGGAGGGCAGAATTTGAAGAGCGGAGGTTGCGAGGTGGGGAGTAGGGCGATAAAAGTTCAGACAGGTTCAGACAGAAATCAGAAGAAAAAAAAAAACCCATCTCACCACAAAGCAGCGAGTTCACTCATTTGAGAGCCCAGGTTCCCGTGCTGCCGTCTCTGTTCCCATACATTTACACCGTTTGAGACAGAGGTTCTGTAACCTGGTATCTCAGATTAATTCATTCTGTGCATCATCTTAATGCCTGCAGGCTGGGGTGAATCAGTGATTCACATTCATTCCCCTTCAGAACAGCTCCCATTACCAGTCTCAGTACCAAGGGCAGCTCAAAACCACTTAAGATGACCGCAGTCGGCACTGGTTCAATCAATATTCAGCACAACAGTCTGTGAAGCTACACCTTCGGCCAGCATGCCTGAGCACACTGGGTACAGATGAGGGCAGTGCCCAGGCCGTCGCCATCATCTGCTCGTCACCAGTTTACCGATCCCAGGACCCAGTCATGACTCTTCCCCAACACCCCCCCGTCTGGGACTCGGCCTGACTGGGCCGTTTGTCCCACCCTCCCACTGCCCTCCTGCGGTCAGGGCTGGACTGTCCTGTGAAGATGTCCTTTTTCCTTGTGTCACTGGGAGAGGCTTCGCCTAAGAGTGCAGCACAGACCAGAGTCTCTTCCCGTTCCTCAGTTATGAACCTGAAGCTCCACCCCAGCACCCCCTAATTCAACAGGCGAACCGGTGAGTCAGGACATCGCAGAGTGATTGGCAGTGAGAAACAGCTGGCTCTCCGCGGGTGAGACCGATAAAGAAGCAGAGGAGAAAAGCCCCTCATTCCTGCTGACAAACAAGGCCCTGCCTGAAGCACTGCCCAAAATGCAATACTTTGTATTGGCTATGCACTTGCACTGCAGTACTTTGTACTGCACTTTGTACTGCAAAGGAAAAAGAAGAGTGCTACGTTCTGGGTCCACTGTAGCACTGTGTGTGTGGAGTCTGCACGTTCCTGCCAGGTTCACAAGGGTCGCCTCCAGCTGCTCCAGGTTCCTCTCTCCTGCTGCCTTCAACATTCTGCCCAGGTGTGCTGGTGTCTAAGTGCTGAACTGCACCTGTGTGTGTGTGCTCTGTGATAGGGCTGGGCTCCAGCAGGAATGAGCCCCTTTCTGATAACAGCTGGATGGAAGAATCCCAATGCAACAGTTACAGAACCAGGGTTCAAATACGCAAAACACAGCACAGGGCAGCAAAGGTCTGTCTGTTTATACAGATTCAGAATTAACCACCTTTGCTCATTTCAACTTGGTTCAATTATCAGAGTGGGCAGCTGCTGTTTTTATGAAATTGCTTGACCTTAGCTCAGAATTTCTCTTACAGAACACCACTACTCAATCAATACAGCTATCCGCATTCCATTTAAAATATAGTTACATTAACATTTAGACTGTAGCATTTGTATCAGGCATCACCATATTTTCTAACAATATTTTCTACTGGGTTTTCAATATTTGTTTATTCATTATTAATGAATAGTCAATTACTTTCCACGCTAGTGTCTGCATATTTGTTCTTTCTAAGTCCTAATAAAAGTAAATGAGATAAACGTGTCTGTTTAAACACTCACATCTCTGTTGAAACGTCCTGCTTTACCATGCACTTGGCTTGGGCATGTCTGTTTGGGTATGAAAAAACGGACTATTTTCTCATAACAAAACCGGCTCTGCACATACCCCCAGAGAGAGACTGGCTCAGGTGAGATGAGGGACCGGTGGGAGGGACCTGAGTTTAAACTTGCACAAAGCAACCAGAACAGGAAGACTGTTGACGGCAGGGTGTGCCCACACACACGTATACAACTGAGACACCAGCTGACCTAGCCAGCACATCTCTGGGAGGCTGGAACAAACTGCCGCACCTAGAGGGAGCCCACACAGAGGAGCACAGCATGCAGACTCCACGCAGAAGGAAAGGGTCCTGGGGGGGAGAGGGGGAGAGGCGAGCGCTCAGCTCGGGAAAGACCGGAAGAGGAGGGGACAGGAATGAGAGGGCAGAAGGACAGAGAAGCAGGGAGGGTGTCCTGGGGGGACCGTGCTCCACTACAGCGGCAGACTGACGCATCACTGCACATGCTTCTAAACCCCGGAGAACACACGGCGACTGCTCAACACTCCCTCTCCCAGCCCCTGCTGCACACCGGCCCCTCACGCTACAGCATCACAGCGCTCAGTAGCTCAGTGCTGGTGACGAGGCGCACTGTGTGCTCAGTAGCTCAGTATTAACGCCAGGCTCCACAGCGCTCAGTAGCTCAGT